ATATATTTATATATTTATATATATATATAATATATATATACTTAGATCATATATATATAATATATATATATGATCTAAGTATATATAATTTTTTTTTTTTACACCATTAACTTATTTTATTTTTATTTTCAGCCAGCAGGGGGACCACCTGTCATTACAGGCAGCCCCCCTGCCGGCAATACAGAAGCCAGCTATCCCCGGCCATGTGATTGTGGGGTCCTCGCTAGGACCCCACTCTCACATGGCCGGGGGGCTTCCAGGAGGACGGAGGTGCCGCGGGGGGCTCCCTGGGAGTCCCCCCAACCGCGATCGCCGGCGTGGGACCGCCGGCGACCGGGTAAGTTAACAAAAACCGGAGGGCGTACAATTACGCCCGGCGGCGTTTAGAGCCGCCTATTAGAGGGCGTAATTGTACGTCCTCCGGTTTTAAGGGGTTAAAAGAAGAAAAACTACCACAACAAGAGGACATAATCTTAAATTAGAGGGGCAAAGGTTCAAAAATATCAGGAAGAATTACTTTACTGAGAGAGTAGTGGATGTATGGAATAACCTTCCCAGCTGAAGTGGTAGAGGTTAACACAGTAAAGGAGTTTAAGCATGTGTGGGATATGCATAAGGCTATCCTAACTAGAAGATAAGGTCAGGGACTAATGAAAGTATTTAAAAAAAATTGGGCAGACTAGATGGGCTGGATGGTTTTTTATCTGCCGTCACATTCTAAATTTCTAAACTGTTTTTGGAGTGGCTTAGAATCTTTCACCACATTTGTATGGATGGCAGTCAGTCTAAACATCTTGGACTTGCTTCAAGCATTCTCAAGCCATAGTTTTTCAAGTTGGTTGAATTATCAGTACAGCCTAGAACTGGGAAGTAGGGATCGACCGACTTATCGGTTTTGCCGGCAATATCAGTATCGGCCAATAGAGATACCGATAATACCTCCTAGGACCGCCAGGCTCATTACAAGCCCGGCGGTCCTGGGGGGAGCGGGCATCAAGCGCTTACTCACTTTCCAGCAGCTCCCCAGTGTAACTCTCGCGAGACCCGCGGCCGTCAGAGCCGCTCCGCGCGACACGCTGGCCGCGAGAGTTGCACTGGGGAGCTGGAGGAGCTGCTGGGAGGTGAGTAAGCGCTTGATGCCCGCTCCGCCCAGAGCTCAGCCAATGCCACTGGACCACCAGGGACTGCTATATCTCCCCTCCCTGGCCAGGTAACAAGCAGGGAGGGGGGACAACAAACAAAAAATAATTAAATCTAAAAAAAATAATAATAATTTAATTAAAAAAATGCCCCCTCACACACTCCATTATATACACTACACAAACACAGTGTGTGTATAGTGTGTGTGTGTATACAATGCACACAAATACACACACTATACAAACGCACTGCATTATATACACACTGCATTATATACACACTGTATATAATGCAGTGTGTTTGCATAGTTTGTGTATATAATGCAGTGTGTTTATATAATGCACACTACACAAACACACTGCATTATATACACACTATACAAACACACACTCTGCATTATATAAACACACTACATTCACTATACACACACACGCGCACGCGCGCGCGCGCGCGCGCGCGCACACACACACACACACACACACACTTTGCATTTAGTATATACAGGGAGTGCAGAATTATTAGGCAAATGAGTATTTTGACCACATCATCCTCTTTATGCATGTTGTCTTACTCCAAGCTGTATAGGCTCGAAAGCCTACTACCAATTAAGCATATTAGGTGATGTGCATCTCTGTAATGAGAAGGGGTGTGGTCTAATGACATCAACACCCTATATCAGGTGTGCATAATTATTAGGCAACTTCCTTTCCTTTGGCAAAATGGGTCAAAAGAAGGACTTGACAGGCTCAGAAAAGTCAAAAATAGTGAGATATCTTGCAGAGGGATGCAGCACTCTTAAAATTGCAAAGCTTCTGAAGCGTGATCATCGAACAATCAAGCGTTTCATTCAAAATAGTCAACAGGGTCGCAAGAAGCGTGTGGAAAAACCAAGGCGCAAAATAACTGCCCATGAACTGAGAAAAGTCAAGCGTGCAGCTGCCACGATGCCACTTGCCACCAGTTTGGCCATATTTCAGAGCTGCAACATCACTGGAGTGCCCAAAAGCACAAGGTGTGCAATACTCAGAGACATGGCCAAGGTAAGAAAGGCTGAAAGACGACCACCACTGAACAAGACACACAAGCTGAAACGTCAAGACTGGGCCAAGAAATATCTCAAGACTGATTTTTCTAAGGTTTTATGGACTGATGAAATGAGAGTGAGTCTTGATGGGCCAGATGGATGGGCCCGTGGCTGGATTGGTAAAGGGCAGAGAGCTCCAGTCCGACTCAGACGCCAGCAAGGTGGAGGTGGAGTACTGGTTTGGGCTGGTATCATCAAAGATGAGCTTGTGGGGCCTTTTCGGGTTGAGGATGGAGTCAAGCTCAACTCCCAGTCCTACTGCCAGTTCCTGGAAGACACCTTCTTCAAGCAGTGGTACAGGAAGAAGTCTGCATCCTTCAAGAAAAACATGATTTTCATGCAGGACAATGCTCCATCACACGCGTCCAAGTACTCCACAGCGTGGCTGGCAAGAAAGGGTATAAAAGAAGAAAATCTAATGACATGGCCTCCTTGTTCACCTGATCTGAACCCCATTGAGAACCTGTGGTCCATCATCAAATGTGAGATTTACAAGGAGGGAAAACAGTACACCTCTCTGAACAGTGTCTGGGAGGCTGTGGTTGCTGCTGCACGCAATGTTGATGGTGAACAGATCAAAACACTGACAGAATCCATGGATGGCAGGCTTTTGAGTGTCCTTGCAAAGAAAGGTGGCTATATTGGTCACTGATTTGTTTTTGAATGTCAGAAATGTATATTTGTGAATGTTGAGATGTTATATTGGTTTCACTGGTAATAATAAATAATTGAAATGGGTATATATTTGTTTTTTGTTAAGTTGCCTAATAATTATGCACAGTAATAGTCACCTGCACACACAGATATCCCCCTAACATAGCTAAACTAAAAAAAACTAAAAACTACTTCCAAAAATATTCAGCTTTGATATTAATGAGTTTTTTGGGTTCATTGAGAACATGGTTGTTGTTCAATAATAAAATTAATCCTCAAAAATACAACATGCCTAATAATTCTGCACTCCCTGTACAGCATTCACTTTATGCACACTACACAAACACTCTGCTTTCATTATATACACACTACACTAATACACACTGCATCCACTACACACACTCGACAAATACACATTGCATCCTCAACACACTACACAAACACAATGCATCCACTACACAAACACACGCTGCATCCACTACACACACTACATAAACACACACAGCTCCCCTGTCTAAACACACTGCATCCACTACATGTGGCATGTATATTTTGTGCATTTACCTTTAGAAATAGTTTTTATTTTCCAAAATGGTAAATGTACAGAATATCGGTATCAGCTCTAAAAAATCAATATCGGTCGTTCCCTACTAGGAAGAGCCCTGGTTATTGTCAGTTAACTCCAAAATGGTTAACCATGAGTTCTGGGGAACGTTCCCATAAACACTGCAAAAGCTGTTGTGATTATAGTTTTTAGAATGTCTTTTAACCACTGAAAGGGACACTATAGTCACTAGAACAACTAGAACTTAATGTCGTTGTTCTGGTGTATATAGAGATGCCCAAAGTAGCACTATAGTGCCAGGAAAACAAACCTGTTTTTCTGGCACTATAGAGTTATTAGGTTCCCCCCCTCCATCCCATTTAGCCACTTTCTTTAATCCAGCCCGGCGCTGTTGACCTCTCCTCCCCCTGCCGATGTCAGCTCCCGAGTGGAGCCTCATGCGCGGCCAGAGCCTCGCGCGCATTTAAACCGCCAGTAGGAAAGCATTACTCTATGCTTTCCTATGGGGTTTTGAACTCGCGCTGCGTGAGTTAAATTAGATTTTTCTCACTGAGAATCGCGGAAGCGATAAATGTATACCTTTTCTAAAAAGAGAGACCATGGGGTATGTCTTATGGTATATTTTGCGCCTTATTATTCAGAGATTTTTTTTTAAATTTTTTTTTATCATGTTTTATTTTTGTACACACATGTTGCACCCTGTCAGTTTATTTTGGAAACTTGATTATATGCTACTGTAATAAAAATACCACTAAATTATGCTCACCTATAATTCCCTAGTACAGAATGACCCCTGTAGCATACCTTTTGTCAGGTTTCTGTGAAAATTCAAGGCTGTTATATCTGGCCTATTACAATTTTTCAGAAGGAAAAATGGCAAATTGAAGATGGGTCTGTGGTGCATTTTACTAGCTCATATATTTAAATTATGCCATTTGCAAAAGTGGACACCATGGGGACTCTTTTTATATAATATAATTTGAGCTTTATTGAAGTGACTTTTTTTTCCCCACCATATTATTTCAAAGATCCTAGTATTTTTATTTTTCATATTTACCTACACATAGTATTTTTGATGCTTACGTGCCCCACTGTAATTAAATTATCTGTAACATCATCCGCAACATCATCTTCTGAGTAAAGACAATGCCATATATGTATATCTTTGGTAAAGAACAATCTAAATCTCGAAACCTAAACCAAGCACTAATTCTGAACTAAATCCTAATCCCACATCTCTAAATCTATTCAGAAACCTCACCCTAATTATAAACTTAACCTTAGCAAATAGTGTTGGAAGGATTCTCTCCGCTGGTGTCAGCAAAGAGATTCCCATGCTGATCCTAATCTGCAACATAATCCCAATATTACAATTAAAGGGGCACTATATTTTCAGGAACACAAACATGTATTCCTGACCCTATAGGGTTAAAACTACCGTCTAGCCACCCTGGTCCCTTCATACCCCCCTAAATATAGTAAAATCCTACTTGTATTCAAGTCTGGAGCTGCATGCTTTGTCACTGTTTCATTTTGACCTGCCTGCTGACATTATCAGAAGTAGTAGCCTGATCCAATCACAATGCTTCCCCATAGGATTGGCTGAGACTGACAAAGAGGCAGATCAGGGACAGAGCCAGCGTGATTCAAACACAGCACTGGCCAGTCAGCATCTCTTCATAGAGATGAATTGAATCCGTGAATCTCTATGAGGAATATTCAGTGTCTGCATGCAGAGGGAGGAGACACTGAATGTTTGGATGCATTTTAGGCAGCCATGACCCAGGAAGGATCTCTAATAGCCATTTAAGGAGTGGCCAGTGAAGTTATCACTAGGCTGTAATGTAAATACTGCATTTTCTCTAAAAAGACGGTGTTTACTGCAAAAAGCCTGAAGGTAATGATTCTACTCATCAGAACAAATTCAATAAGCTGTAGTTGTTCTGGTGAATATAGTGTCCCTTTAATTCTAAACATAATCTTGATCATAAATCTAATACAAGATGGAGTAGTCTGAAGCGTCGTGGGCATCACAGAAACGGCCATCTTTGGTTGGAGAGACCCAGAAGTATACTCCAGAGGAGCCCTCCGTCCTGTGTGTGGGAAGTGAGCCATGACCCCAGTGGGACCGGGAGATCCCCCACTGGTCCGGGTGGAGGTTGGAGCATGCTGGGCACCCGCCACCAGCCAGGGAACATGGAGAGCGTCCGTCTTTCCCTGTCCCAGCCATCCGCAAGCCACAACTTTCGTCCGCCTTGGAACCATCGACTGCCGAGATGAATCATACAGGTATGGAGTTCGTGGAGCACTCAGGAGCGTGTAGCCCCTGTTTGGGCAGATAAAAGTAAGAATTTGCTGGGATATTGGGTATAAACAGCCTTGTGTTCATGGAGCTCAGCCCAGGTGCGTCTTGCTTACTCGGCAGTCAGGCTCCGCCCCATTGCTAATAATTTTAAAGCTACACTCCAAGCCTATGTCTAAAACCTGCTTTAGTGGTTAAGGTGCCGAGATTATCCTTGTGCCATCACAGCATCATCCGTGATACCGAATTTTTAACTATTTGCGTTTGACATTTAATGGGTCCCTCTGAGTGCATGAGCTGCTTTTGGTGTACACCAGATGGAGAAGCTGGATGTCCATTTTGTTGAAAACAGGAACTTGTTCGATAGCATCAGGCTTCTCCTCTTGAGAAGACCATAAACAGCCCAGGCACCCAGAGGGGTTAATGTGAAACAGGTTTACAGATTACATTGGGATGGAGCCAGGACACTCCTTGCAGCATAACTACGCCTGATGTTAGTAGTTTGTTTTAATTTGGCCTCCTGCCAAATCGTGCTAGGATGGGAGAGGAGTTGGGAAGACAGGAAAAGAGCAAACAAAATATGGAACTTATTATTATTTTTTTTTCTTACTTTCACTTTAGCCTGGCCCTGCAGCAAGTGCTACCAACGTTGGCGCCTCTGGTCGATCTCCAAGTAAAGCTGTCGCACCCAGAGCTGCAGGATCTACAGTAAGACAAAGGTACCTTTACAAATTTACATTTATCTATGAGTGTACACAAAAGCACATGATTAAAGAACACTATAAGGTCATGAACACAAACCTGTATTCTTGACCCTATAGTGTTAAAACCACAATCTAGCCCCCCATTACCTCAACATATAGTAAAATCTTACTTGTATTCAAGACTGCAGCTGCTGGCTCTCCTCCTGTCTGACCAATCGGCATCTCCTCATAGAGATAAATTGAATCAATGCATCTCTATGAGAAACGTTCAGTGTTTGCATGCAGAGGGTTGATGCCATAACAATGTGAGATATTGTGCCAGCATAGTTCATTGTAGACATTTTTCATATATTTTTAACACCTTAAGGACTAGGCAAAGTGTACACGTTGTGATCGAAACAAAACATGGAATTTGACTATATGTATGTCCAACCGTAATTCACCTCTTTCATATTAAGTGCACCCACATTTATTATATATCATTCTTTTCAGGGGAAATAGGGCTTTCATTTAACATCAAATATTTAGCTATGAAACATCTTTTTTTTTTTTAGTTCTACATGACATTTTTAACTGTGAATGTCATAATACTGCTTTTATTGCAATAAAACACACATTTGTATTCAGCGATGTGTCACTTGTAAAACAGTACCCCCTATGTACAGGTTTTATGGCGTTTTGGGAAGTTACAGAGTCAAATATAGCATGTTACATTTTTTTTTAGTTTTTTCACATTGAATTTCACCAGATTGGTTACGTTGCCTTTGAGAACGTATGGTAGCCCAGGAATGAGAATTACCCCCATGATTGCATACCATTTGCAATAGTAGACAACCCAAGGTATTGCAACTGAGGTATGTCCAGTCTCTTTTAGAAGCCACTTGGTCACAAACACTGGACAAAATTGGCATTCAAATTAGTTTTATTTTTTTTTTTTCATTTTTTCACACACATACAAATATTAACACCAATTTTGGCCAGTGTTTGTGACCAAGTGGCTTCTAAAAAAGACTGGACATACATAATTTGCAATACCTTGGGTTGTCTACTATTGCAAGTGGTATGCCATCAATTTTTATTCCTGGGCTACCATACAATCTCAAAGGAAACGTAACCAAACTGGCAAATTTCAATATGAAAAAACTAAAACGCAGGCCTTATATTTGACTCTGTAACATTTCAAAAAACACCATAAAACCTGTAAATGAGGGTTGCTGTTATACTCTGGAGGCTTCGCTGAGCACAAATATTAGTGTTTCAAAACAGTAAAATGTATCACAACAATTATATCATCCATTTGTGTGTGAAAAATGCAACAAATGTCACTTTCACTGATGATATCCTTGTTGTAATATATTTTACTGCTTTGAAACACTAATATCTGTGTTCAGTGAAGTCTCCCGAGTAAAACAGTACCCCCCATGTACAGGTTTTATGGTGTCTCGGAAAGTTATAGGGTTAAATATAGTGCTAGCAAATTAAATTCCCTGGACTTTCGGCCTGGGTTGTCAGGCAGGTCCCGCAAATTGTAAATAATAAAATGACCTAATTATGTAAAAATATTTGTGTGTGTGTGTGTGTATGTAAAATATATATATATATATATATATATATATATATATATATATATATATATATATATATATATATATATATATCGTGCTATGCTGCCCACTGGCTTTTAGAGCCGGGTCCCCAAGGACGGCATAGCATGCACGCCGTCGTTAAGGAGTTAATTCCATGGACGTCAAAATTGTTTTTAATTTGTTTGTGCATGAATATCTTTTTTTTAATTGTTATATTTGTTTTCAAAGGAAAAATGCAAGTAGCAGTACCAGAAGTGCAGGACGCACCACATCAGCAGGAACAGGAGGCATGTGGAGGTTCTACACTGAGGATTCACCAGGTCTTAAAGTGTAAGTGAATATTCATTTTGCTGATGTTTACACCATATGAAAAATGTACTATATGTATCATAACCACTAAAGCCCATTGTTTGGTAATGTGGCAATCAATTATGCAAAGATTTGCCTCTTACCTGTGTCCTGCCAGTTGCTGATCTTCCTCTGTTATCTGAATTACATCTTTCTTCGGCAGGAGCTAGATGCTTAACATGCCAGACATGCATTGGCTGAGGAAGTCAGCTGAGCACTCTCAGCCATTGAATGTCTGGAAAATGAATAGAAACTGAATTGATATTTACCAGCCCAAAACCCTTGCTCTGTGTTGACTAATGAGTGTGCGGGTGGTAGTGTTACACAACATTTTCATTAAAAAAAATAAAAAAAAATATTTGTGATACTATGCCAAATTTCTACCTGCAGCCTCCTTCTGTAACATAACTTATATTTATAGAATTAACTGTAGGAGCCTGGAATAAGCGTTCTAGACTGCTAATTACCCTGCCAGATGTGGAGTGTTTCATTAATGCGAACTTCAAAATATATAGTGTCATGGAAAAGGAAAGTACACTTTTTGAATTCTTTGGTTTTACATATCAGGACATATCAATGATCTGTTCCCCTCACAGGTCTTCGTATTGGGTAAATACAACCTCAGATGAACAACAACACATGACATTCCACCGTGTCATGATTTATTTAACAGAAATAAAGCCAAAATGGAGAACTTGTGTAGTAAAACTAAGTCCACCCTAACTGCTTATTGAATTAAGAGGCGAAGTAGCAGATAGGTACTAGTAATCTGAAAGGGTCCTTAGGGCGTTAAATGTGATACTAAACTGCTTGTAGTTTTATGTTATGCTCTCAACATTAATTCATATTATTTCTTCCTATAGTTATTGTCCAAATAATGTTACACTTCTCTACTATTAATAGTATTCTTTATTATCTTAAATATGTTTGTATATTTATATATATATATATTTTTTTTTCTCTGTATTTTCAGTGGACCAGTTCCTGTGTTAGTGATGAGCCTCCTGTTCATAGCTTCTGTCTTCATGTTGCACATCTGGGGTAAATACACACGTTCTTAAAACAAATTTGCAATCACCCTGGAAAATAAATCAAAACCAATATTTTGGACCAAACCAAATGGACTTTTTCTTCTTTTTTAGGAACAGAAATTTAAACAAATGTCTGGTGGTTTTAATAATTGTATTAAAAGTATACCTACTATTTTTACTGTTTAAAGTCCCGTGGGACAGAGATGCATTTGCAGCCATTGTTAACTGTTTTTAGGCTTTTTGCCGCTTCTTCTCTACACCCTTCTTTCCTTTCAAAATGATCAGGACAGTAAAAAAGAGCTAGACAAATTTCCATAAATGTTTCTTACATAGATACTTATTTTCTAGAGTGTGTGTGTGTGTGTGTGTGTGTGTGTGTGTGTATATATATATATATATATATACACACGAAAAAGTATGTGAGCCTTTTGGAATGATATGGATTTCTGCACAAATTGGTCATAAAATGTGATCTGATCATCATCTAAGTCACAACTATAGACCATCACAGTCTGCTTAAACTAATAACACACAAAGAATGAAATGTTGCCATGTTTTTATTGAACACGCCATGTAAACATTTACAGTGCAGGTGGAAAAAGTATGTGAACCCTTGGATTTAATAACTGGTTGAACCTCCTTTGGCAGCAATAACTTCAACCAAACGTTTCCTGTAGTTGCAGATCAGACCTGCACAGCGGTCAGGAGTAATTCTTGACCATTTCTCTTTACAGAACTGTTTCAGTTCAGCAATATTCTTGGGATGTCTGGTATGAATCGCTTTCTTGAGGTCATGCCACAGCATCTCAATCGGGTTGAGGTCAGGACTTTGACTGGGCCACTTCAGAAGGCGTATTTTCTTCTGTTTAAGCCATTCTGTTGTTTATTTACTTCTATGCTTTGGGTCATTGTCCTGTTGCAATACCCATCTTCTGTTGAGCTTCAGCTGGTAGACAGATGGCCTTAAGTTCTCCTGCAAAATGTCTTGATAAACTTGGGAATTCATTTTTCCTTCGATGATGGCAATCCGTCCAGGCCCTGACGCAGCAAAGCAGCCCCAAACCATGATGCCCCCACCACCATACTTCACAGTTGGGATGAGGTTTTGATGTTGGTGTGCTGTGCCTTTTTTTCGCCACACAGTGTTGTGTGTTTTTTCCAAACAACTCAACTTTGGTTTCATCTGTCCACAGACTATTTTGCCAGTACTGCTGAGGAACATCCAGGTGCTCTTGTGCACCTCATTGAGCAGTCTGAGCTGTGCTCTTGCAGTCATCTTTACAGGACGGCCACTCCAAGGGAGAGTAGAAGCAGTGCTGAACTTTCTCCATTTATAGACAATTTGTCTTGCCGTGGACTGATGAACAGCAAGGCTTTTGGAGATACTTTGATAACCCTTTCCAGCTTTATGCAAGTCAACAATTCTTAATCGTAGGTCTTCTCAGAGCTCTTTTGTGTGAGGCATCATTCACATCAGGCAATGCTTCTTGTGAAAAGCAAACCCAGAACTGGTGTGTGTTTTTTATAGGGCAGAGCAGCTGTAACAAACACCTCCAATCTCATCTCATTGATTGGACTCCAGTTGGCTGACATCTCACTCCAATTAGCTCTTGGAGATGTCATTAGTCTAGGGGTTCACATACTTTTTCCACCTGCACTATGAATGTTTACATGGTGTGTTCAATAAAAACATGGCAACATTTCATTCTTTGTGTGTTATTAGTTTAAGCAGACTGTGATTGTCTATTGTTATGACTTAGATGAGGATCAGATCACATTTTATGACCAATTTGTGCAGAAATCCATATCATTCCAAAGGGTTCACATACTTTTTCGTGTGTGTATGTATATATATTGTGTGTGTGTGTGTGTGTGGAGAGAGAGAGAGAGACAGAAAAAACCAACACTATATCCTTGCACACATAGGCTCTATTGTATTATCCTGGTGCTTGCAATCCGGGGGAAATCTTATACACCAATTGTAGGGATGACCAGCACTCACGGTTTAGTGAAAGTTAAAAGTTGTAGGCTTTAATGAAGACTCATAGTTAAAAGTAAATCGGCGTTTCAGTCCACGTCTGGGTGATTATATATATTTTTATATATATATATATATATATATATATATATATATATATATATATATATATATATATATTCTAGCCAATGGGAGGGAGAGCACAAGCTACCATTGATGCCGTGGGGGAGGGGTAAACAAATAAAAAAAAAAAAAAATATATATATATATATATTTTTTTGTTTGTTTACCCCTCTCCCACGGCATCAATGGTAGCTTGTGCTCTCCCTCCCATTGGCTAGCAATTTTTAAGGCCTGGGTATTTGTCTAGAACTTTTACGCCCCATTGTCTAAGTAGACTATCACGTAGTGCTATGGCCTGATCAAGTCTTGTTTAGGACCATGAGAAGAGAGATGGATTTTTTTTTTTTTTTGGAGCGCAGTAGTTTATGCCATTGAGACCAGGCTCTATCAAACCTGGACAACATTCCAGCCATACTATGTGCAATTTGTTAATGCATTCTGTTTGCTGCCAGCTTCTCAACAACCACATGGGGTTGGGTGGAAGGATTTTCAAGCTCTTACTATCTCTTTTGGCTGCCACCATCATCGCATACATTATCGTTCTTTGCTTTCCCAAGTATCGTTGTTGACATATCAAGCAGATATTCTTCAGGGCTCAGAGGGACCTTTGGCCAGATTATACAATGGATTTTAAACCTGGGACCACAAAGGGCCCAGTTTTGGGTATGTTTTAAAGATATGGTTAAGAGATCCTATTCCCTGCTGGAAGAAACATTCAGGTAACTGTGATTAGTGAACAGGAGTCAGATACCACCTGATCAATCAATTTCTGTTGGCCTCGATATGGTCAAGCAGTAGGTGGTCCTCTGTATTTGACATACACCTCTATCCCACTGTTCTGGAGAGAATTGGACATTAAGCTTTTTTCCCATTGTCATTTATTATTTATAAAGCGCCAACAAATTCTAAAATGGTGGATTAACAGTCATGTATTTGCAACAAGATGAGCTGGACGCACAAGAACAGAGGGTGTTCCAGTGCGCAAAACAAGCTTACATTGTAGAGGGAGTGGGGTAAAGTGACAGTAGGATGTATTTCACGTATGCGGAAAAGTAGGTTGCTAGCATAGTGAGAAGGGTTATTTTTTTGGGGGGGGGGGGGGGGAAATGACACAGGTGCAGGAGAGGAAGCGGGGTGCATAAACAAGGCGCAGAGGGGAAAGGGAAGTGAAAACGTAAACATTTTTAAATTATATGCTTTCTTAAAGAAGTGAGTTTTTAATGATATTTTGAATGAACTGCGATTGGGTAACCGTAGAGAAGTCTTGAAGGTGGGCGTCGTTGGTGCAAGTGCAAACTGCTATTGACGCATAGCTTAGGGGCCTGGAAGGGGCATCCTTGTGTATCAGTGTGTATGGGTAGGTAGGAGCAGCATTATGTAAAGATTTGAAAGCAAGCACCAGAATTTTACATTGAGCCCTATATCTCACATGAAGGATGGAGGTGTAGGCAGACAGGAAAAATGCATGATAGCTGCATTTATTATAGATAATTGGTCTAGCTGTGAAACAAATTGCAGTAGTCAAGGCGAGAGTTAATAGCGACATGGGCCAGCACCTTGGCAATTATATAAGGGCTGATGTGAGCTTAGTTTTTGAGATGGAAGCAGCAGGATTTGGCAAGTGACTGGCCAGAGGGGTGAAGGAGAGGTAGGAGTCAGAGAATGTCTAGGCAGCAAGCTTGCGAGGTAGGGCTAATGGTAGTACCATTGATTTGGAGGGATAATAAAGGTTTAAGAACAGTGCACACATACAAATACAGTTTTACATTTTACAAGACTACTTATAATCACCGATCTCCGCAATGAAATATGGGGTTCGGTTCCACCATCTGGCCTAATTGTCTTAAGCCCCCTACTACTTAACAGTACCCCAATATCGGTGGATCCTACACCAATTCCAAAGTGGAGATAGGGTTGTTTTTTTTTTTTTGTAGACTTATAAAATGTATTCCTTTTTTGTCTTTACTATGTCATGACATAGTATCATGATGTCTGTCATGCCATGATAGATGATGTCATAGTAAAGACAAAAAGGGAATTGGGTGCACACCCGAACAAGCATTTTTAAGATATGGTGCTGCTGTAGTGACCACAATTTATACCAGATTAACCCATTAAGGACAGAGCCAAACGTACACGTTGTGATAAAAAATGTAAATACACCACAGAATTTGACTATATGTCTGTGCAACAATAATTTACCCCTTTCATATTGCATGCAAACACACTTATTATATATCGTTTTGTTCAGGAGAAACAGAGCTTTCATTTCATATCAAATATTCATATATGGAACTCCAATTTTATATGAAAAAAAGTTTGAAAAATCAAGACCTTTTGTTATTTTCAAGTTCTGCATGGCATTTCAACTGTGATGTCATACTGTTGGGTTTTCCTGCAATAAAATGCACTTATTTGTATTATTCAATATATCACAAGTAAAACCGTACCACCTACGTATAGGTTTTATGGGATTTTGAAAAGTTGCAGGGCCAAATATATGGCTTGCCCATTCATTATAAATTTTTTTTTTTTTTTTTTTACACAGACATTTGGTAGATTGGTTTTCTGGGCTTAGGTTGCCTTTGAGACTGTATGGCAGCCCAGAAATGAATATTACCTCCATCATAGCACACCATTTGGAAAAGTAGACATCCCAGGGTATACAAAATGGGCTATGTCCAGTCTTTTGTAGTAGCCACTTGGTCACAAACACTAGCCAAAGTTGGTGTTCAGATTTACTTATTTATTTTTGCTTTTTTCCGAACATACAAACTGTACTTTCACTCATGATATTGTTATACGTTTTACTGCTCTGAAACACTCACATTTCTGGTCTGTCAAAACAGGAACAGTCAGAGCTGTGTTTTTATTGTTCTTATATACACATTCTTACACATTAGTACCACCCACAGGGTTTTGTGGAACATCCAAACACGTAAAATACAGTAAAACACTCCCATTCATTCCAGCAAAATCCTCCCCTCTGTCTGTGATATAATTACTGAACACAAAGGGCTAACGTAATTATCACAGGCACGAAAATACAGTTTTACACAATATTCATAACTTTAAAAGTATACATGACCTTCACATAAATCACAAAAATACATTTTCAGAATCAGCATACTCCAAATACAAACATACTCAAAAATCAGGCAATTCCCTCCAGTGGTTTAAAAGTTAGGTCGAAGTCCTTTGTGACCAACTGCAAGCATGGCTTTCCAGCCCAAACCAGTTCCACAGAGTTTGGCTGTGCAAGATAATTGGTTCAAAGGACCACTATAGGCACCCAGACCACTTCAAAGGGTTAACCTTTTTTTTTTTTTTTTTTTTTAATAAACCTAGCTGTTTCAGAGAAAACATTATGAATGCTTTCCTATGAGACTGGCTGAATGCGCGCGCAGCTCCTGCCACGCATGCGCATTCAGCCGGAGAGGAGGAGGAGAGCTCCCCGCCCGGCGCTGGAGAAAGAGGTAAGTTTAACCCCTTCCTCTCCCCAGAGCCCGGCGGGTGGGGGCACCCTCAGGGCACTATAGTGCCAAGAAAACAAGTGTTTTCCTGGCACTATAGTGGTCCTTTAACTGCATGTGGTAAGCCAACAATCTCCAGGTACAGAAAATCTCTATTCACCACAAGAGCAAAAATACATAACTCCTCTCATACTGAACAGAACCCCCACATTCAACTTATCCCCACATGGCTTGGATCTGAGCGCTCACTATATCCAAACAGCGCTCCGATCCAACAAACACTGTCAAATCGCCATGGGGTTTAAGTTTAGCATGGGCTAATGAGAGGGGGCCATAGTCATGAGGCAGGAGGCTGGCAATCAGACTTATCCATAACCCAGGGAAGCAGGGCAATTTGTCATAAGAGAAAATGGTGACAAAAGGCATTTTGTAACAGAGGCTTCTCCAGGACGAGTTTCGCCACACAGAGTATACTAAATGGTGCGTATTGATATGTTTGGCCTACCCACTTTAAGAAATGCAAAGCCCACACACTGGTTATAGTTTTATTGGTGCTTATTCACAGGATATTTCATATTCCTGATATGAGTTAGTGCAATAAAGCCTTGGTATTTTGATTACACATCGTTATTTAAAAAAAAAAAAAAAAAAACTTGCACCCATAATAGCATAGCATTTTTAAAAGTAGGCAAACCAGGGTATTCCAGATGGCATAATTTGAGATGTTTGGTTTAGCCACTTGAACAGACATGCAGTGCCCATGTAGCGATGGGCATGAATTCCATTTTCACAGGAAATTTAATAATCCTGATAGTGCAATAAAACCTTACTATTTTTTGATTTAACATTCTCTCCTGAATATAAAAGTACCCCCCACATACAATTTGATCTGAAGGTGAGAGAGATCTTTGATCTCACACAGAGTTACTGTGGGAAAAGTTTGAGAAGTTAAAAAAAAAAGCGCGATTTTATTAACCCTGTGATTAGTTGTGTTTTTTTTTTTGTAAAGTCACATTTTAACAAGTACTACAAATGTAGTATTTTGAGTTGTTTGGTGTAGCCACTTTAGAATGGCTAATGTAAATAGGGACAGGCCAAGGTCATGGGAATCCAGAAGTCCGAGTAGTTGGTAAAACACACCAATAGGTCGGTACAGGCAGCTAACAAAGCGTAGTCAGGTCAAGTCGAGGTCAGAATCCAGGGATGGATAGGAGGGGCAGTAATAACTGGACTTTTGGACTCCTCTCTTCGAGCAAACACAGCATTTTCTTTGTGGTGACCTTTTTACAGGGTGTGCAATGGATTAGGGAAGGGAAATGTTTGCCGAAAAGTCTTTGGACTTCTTCAGATTTAAAAGGGGAAGGATTGGGCGCCTGGGCAAATAAAATTTGGAACATAAACTCTAGAAATGCGTATGGTCTACCTATGGCTTTCTTTTTATAAAGCACATAGGAGTTGAACATTGAATTCTGGTTATGTAGATTACAATTTTCTTGTACCAGATCCTACTCTTTCTATTCAACAGATAGGGCTGTATGCATTGGTCAGCCAAGTCTACTCCCCTCCATAAACTTGCTGTAGTCTACAACGCACTTCGGCTTCTCCAGATGCTCAGTTCTACCTTTCACAGACACTGGCACTGTAGTTTCATTATGCATTGTGGACAACATGAATACATCCTTCCTATCTGTGAACCGAAGGGCAAGCAACTCATCCTGGCGGAGAGCTGAAAGGGAGCCTCTGCTGCGTCTGCCTCTTGCCATGGTTTGGGGCAAACCTCTACAATTCTTCCGCACCGTGCCACAGGCTAGTGTATCAAAGCAAAATGCATATTTAAAAAATGTAATACTTGTATAATAGTTGTCAACCCATAGTCTGTACCCCTTATTTAACAAGAAAAGGATTAGATACCATACAATCTTGCCACCTGTACCCACAAAATCCTGGTGGGTCAAGATGGCTATCCTTCCCCTGGTAAGTACAAAACGCCAATGTATATCCAGAACTGGACTCGAATAATTTGTAAAATTATCTACCCTTGAACTTCATTTGGGATTCATTTACACAAATATTTTTATAAGGGACATCATTTTGGGAAAATTTGTCTGACAGGAGTTGTATTGGGGCAGAATTTCGTAGAGCTTGTCAAACAATGGGTCGTTTCTTAGGGGGCACAGTGCGTTATCGTTATAGTGGAGGAAAGATATTGGTCGGCAAATAATTTGGTTTGCTAAACCATTAGCTGAAAAATGCCTTCTGACATGAACAGGTCGAAATATGTAATTGGCTTACAAGCATCCACCATAACTGTGATGCCAGGGCTTGCCATGAATGGGGGAATAACTGGGGCCGTCAGGCTTGGGAGCACCTAGTCTCCGTCTGGCATTGGGCTTTCTGAGCATTTTCTTATAGGTAATGGAGGGGCACCATCACTTGAGGACTCACTTTTAGGCCTAATATCAGAGGCAATGATAGTGTCACTGTCTTGCAGAGTGTCACTATCCCTGCCTGCTATAATGGTGTACGCCTCCTCTGCCGAATAGCGACGTTACATTCTGGGGGGACTAATTTAAATGACTTTAAAAGTTAAGGGGGGTAATTACTATATTCACACACCCAAACAAACCCAAAAATTAAAATAAAATGATTGATCGCGGTTTAGACACCTGTGATTAGTACTTAAAAGAGCACAATAGGGTCAGAAACCACCATCTAGCCACCCTGGTCACCTCATGCCTCCCTAAATATAGTAAAAGCTTACTTGTATTCAAGTCTGCAGCTGCTACCTCTGCCCATGTTTCCTATTAGACCTGCCTGCTGACATCAGATGAAGTGGTAGCATGATCCAATCACAATGCTACCCCATAGGATTGCCTGAGACTGACAAAGGGGCAGAGCCAGTACAATTCAAACACAGCCATGACCAATCAGCATCTAATCATAGAGATGAATTGAATCAATGAATCTCTGAGGAAAGGTCAGTGACTGCATGCAGCGGGAGGAAGCACTGAATGTTTGGAGGCATTTTAGGCAGCCATGACCCAGGAAGGATCTCTATAGCCATCTAAGGAGTGGCCAGTGACGTTATCACTAGGCTGTAACGTAAACACTGCATTTTCTCTGAAAAGACAGTGTTTACAGCAAAACTCCTGAAGGTAATGATTATACTCAGCAGAACAAATTCAATAAGCTGTAGTTGTTCTGGTGACTATAGTGTCCCTTTAAGGGGTTAAAGGGTAATTGTTTTTAAAAATATTTTTTGACCCCAAAAAAAAAACAACATAATATTAGTACAAATGTACTAAAAGCCCTAATCAGGCTGATTAAAATTAATGCTGTGGTCAGCACTGCATGGGTTAAAAAAAAAATCACCTTTTTAAACTTTTTTTGCACCACAGGTACAATCTGCAATGATCTATCTACCTCTCTCTCTCTGATCGAAGTGAGGTGAGGAGAGGGGCAGAGACAATTCGACAGCCAGTGATTTAAAATCATTTGCTGACACATTTTAACAGTTATCGCAGTGACTGGCTGTCACTGCGATCACAAGCTGCAGATCGCCACTGATTGGCCACAGGCAGGCCCCCCTCCCCCACCGCAATCTGCACCTTAGGAGGGAGCGAGCACATGTGGGAATGCTAAAACGCTGCCCATAAGTCCATAAACGCCAGGACGGCATAGCACCCCTGTAAGGCGTTAATGGGTTAAGGAACACTTAAAAACCCAGGTTTAAATTGTATAAGGCTACTTAAAGGACCACTATTGGCACCCAGACCACTTCAGCTCAATGTAGTGGTCTGGGTGCCAGGTCTATCTAGGGTTAACCCTGCCTGCTGTAAATATAGTTTCAGAGAAACTGCTATGTTTACATATGGGTTAATCCAGCCTCTAGTGGCTGTCTCATTGACAGCCGCTAGAGGCGCTTCTGCGCACAGTGAGAAGACGCCAGCGTCGAGG